TTGTACATATTAATTTCCAATTATTTTGCGTTTTTTTTCAACCGAATCTTCCTTAAATAAATCCCTAAAATATTGCACGAAATAATGTAAACTAAATATATATTTTGTATTCAAAATAAATTATGCAGCAATAGCATATCCCTTTTAGAGATGTATCTCAAATTTTTATTTTTAGTCCAAAAATCAAATTAATTATGATTAAACAATGAAAAGAATAATATGCATAATTTAGCTAAGGAAAGAAACATTAATAAAAATTTTAAAATATATTTGTTATTTTAACAACATATATATTAATCTGCAAAACTCACAGTATGTATTGTATGGTATTTAAAGGTAAGCAAACAAGAATTTGGTTTATGAATTTAATGGAATGAAATGAAAATAGGAATTACGAGACGGGACGAGATGAGAACATAAATTAAAAATCAAACTAAATATCCAACTGGTATGTGTTCGGCTTATGAGCACTATATAAAATAAATTTGTTTACACACATAATTCTGTACGTACGTTTTCATTTACACATATTCTATTTATGCCGGATACGGGACCGTCATATATTTATTTCACGTATACGAGACGGGTTATGGAACGAAGAATTTATGACAGATACAGGACGGGATAGGTTTTCCGTTCCAATATAGTTATGCCTAGCTAATATACATGAAATAACCAAACTAAAACCGAATCCATATCCTATATAACACATGTAATCAAATTGTTAGAAATGTTTTGATTAGTTTAGAAAATAAAAACCGTAACATCATTTAACTTTTGCAACTAAATTATATCTTAAATATAATTTCACACGTACGTGTAGGTCCGAATCTTAAAATATAACTATGCACTAACGCAATTGAATTTCGTTCATTACTCTAACTATATAATATTTATACTATTATGAAGTTCACTAACACAACAAAATATTTTATATTTTTAAAATCTATATAAAAATTTATATATATAAAGATATCTCTGCACATACGTGTGAATTCAGATCTAATACACTAAAATATATATCATAGAAACAACAAATAATCTATATTGAATTAAAATTTGTTAGAAAATTTTTTAAAATATGAAACCCCGCACGTATGTGCGGGTCAGGATCTAGTAACTTTATGAAACTGAAGGTGTTAAAAGACAATGTGTACAAGAAAAGAAAACGTTCCATTTTTAAGGGTTTTGCAGAGGTTTATGGTGAATCTTTGATACAATCTACATTCTACTAAGACTGATCTACTTTGAATCGTTTTGAATGTTAAGAGAGCTTAAATTGGGTTTTGGATGGTTTTGTGCCCGGCTCATAGAGATTCCTAGATCACTTCTCCGAGACGACAAGAGGAGGCATATTCTAATCCTTGCTCTGATGCTTTTAAGGGATAGCAAAGAAGACAAATCGAGTCTTGAATCTAGCGGAATTGTTAAAGATCATCAATAGAGGGATGTTATATGAGAATGTGAAGAGAAAGACTTGACAAAAGCGAGAAGAAAATAAGATTAAGTTTACCACAATACTCAACAAGATTAATCGTGATAAGTCAAGTTGTCTTTGGAGACAGTGGATGAACCGAGGTCCAAGACCGGTGGATAATTGATCAAAATCGAGTTTCTGAATTTGGTTTTGGTTCTTGTTTTAATGATAGTTGATGTGGTGAACCCATTCACTGCAGGAGAAAATAAGCTCTTCTTGTTGCCCCAAATCAGAAAGCCACCACTAGACATGGCTTAGAATTAGATCACATTTTTAGTATCTTCATATAGAGGACCTGAGTTCACGATCTTCATGATTTAACAAAATTAACCATCACCCAAACACGCTGCAAGATGGAAGAGAAATGCAAAAGATAGAAGCTTGGAATTTGATCTAAATCAAAACCCAAAATAAAATTAAAAAAACATCCAATAAGTAATACAATAAGAAAAATATAATAACATAATCCAAGTGAACAAATTTGTCCAAAAAAAAAAAAAAATTCCAAGTGAACAACACAACACACACTAGAAGAATAAAGATAAAGCAATAGAAGAAGAAAAACCGTATGTGGATTCTGATTTTAGACAGTGAGGATTTCCAATCCTGAGTAATGGATCTTTTAGATCCCATAAACCAGCAGCTAAAGAAGAAGAAAAAGAAACGAAGTTAGAGACACTTGTGGAACTCTTTGAAATTGAGAGGCACAACATATTATTTGATCCAATTTTGCAGATGGATCATATCTCATGCTAAGTTGAGGAAAAAGAAAATACTAGTAAGAAATAAAAATAACTCAAGCAGAAGAGATTAAAAGAAATGATTACCCGTTTGATTGAAGGCAAGAATCGATTTTTGGTATCTTCGTCCTCCCATTCAAGCTCAGTTTCTTGAGAATCCATCTCAATTTTAAATTCATCAACTAGTGGAACACTTGTAGCATTTAAGGGAAGCTTTCTCAGCTTTGGGCAGCAATATGCAAATATGTGCTTCAATAATGGAAAGGGGAGAGGACTCCAGTAGATACTCTCCAGCTTCGGCAGTTTTTCCACACTGAAGAATTCTAGTTTCTGAAATGGTGTAATACCTGTAAGATTGGTTGCTTTCTCTTTGTTTATAATTTCTTCCACTTCTCTTGAATCTGAAATACGTAGGAAGACAAGATTTGGAGCAAACAGAAGCCAAGTCAGATCCTTAATGCTATGGCAGGACGTTATATACACGGTGGAGAGATTGGTAAAGCATGGAATTTTCGGATTGTGTAAATCAGACGAGTCTGTCTTGTTTTCTATGCACATCAGATTTGTATTAATCTCTGTAACATGACTATTCTTCACCATGAGCAAACGAAGATTCTCCATACTCGTCAGCAATGATATATTGAATGCCTTTTGTTGAAAATCGCTAATCTCCAGATCAGTGATGCAGTTCGCCAACCTTTCTATATTGAATGCCTTTTGTTGAAAATCGCTAATCCCCAGTTCAGTGATGCAGTTCGCCAACCTTTCATCATCTAATATTTGCTCCAGCCCCATTTCCGTAGATATCGTTATGGTTAGAACTTGTAGATGCTCCAAGAGCTGCAGCTCTTTCACTAAGCTTACATCGGCATGAACATTAGAACCTCTTAGTTTCAAAATTCTTAAACTCGACAACTTTGATATCGCACCCACACTGCAGATTGATGTATAACTCAAATTCAGATGAGTTAAATTTTTCAACTCATGGAAACCAACAGGCAGTTGCTCTATACTTGTACTCGACAAGTCAAGATACTGCAAGGAGGCCAGCTCTGATATCTGCTCTGGAAGTTCATTTAAGTTGCGATTCAATGACAAATCCAAAACAACTAGCTTTTGCATACACCGAATGAATTCACCTGATAGATTCTTCAATTGATTTTCTTCAAGGAACAAAGTTGTAAGTTCAGAACACTTGGAACCACATGTTATCTCTTTAATATTATTCTTCATTAATGACATTCTTCTCACAGCTCCCCAATCCTTGATTTCTGGTATTTCATGTAATCCGACTCCTGCTCGCACCACAAAATTCTCCTTCTGTTTCCCAAAATCAGATGCAATCCATAGAGCCATTTCGCGAACCACGTCATGCATCACAACCGATGTTTTACCAACCTCCGTCAGTAAATTTGCACGAATAAGGGTACCGAGCATCGTATAACCCTTATTCCTCGCTCTTTTTATAACAGAGTAGTCTCCGATGAATCCTTCGCATATCCAGTAGTCTATCAACTTTTCCATACCTATATTAAAATCTTCCGGAAAGAGAGCACAATATAGGAAACATGTCTTGATATTTTCATCCACCAAGCTATCGTAGCTGTACTTTAGAATTGGAAGAATTTTATTTTTCACATCAGGAAACTCTGCGGCGGATGTTGTCAAAACATCGATTGCATCCTCCCATTCTTGTACCATAGTTTTAGATGCCATCACCTCACCAATGACATTGAGCGCCAGTGGCAGCCCACCACATTTTTCAGCGACCTTTCTTGCAAGCTCGACAATGACAGGATCTCTTCTTAATGTGTTGTCTCCGACCTTGTTTTTAAACAATTCCCATGCTTCCTTTGGTCCCAAACATTGAACTTCCACTGGTTTATGATCCCCCATCCGCCCACATACTTCTCGGGAACGAGTGGTGAATGCTACTTTGCATCCATTTTCTCTGGTCGGAATTGGAACTCCGAGGGCTTGTAAATCCACTTTGTCCCATATATCATCTAACATCAAAACGAATCTCTTCCTCTGTAAAACATTGTGTATATCAGCGGCGTTAACACTTTCAGTTTTGTCCTTCCACACCTCGTCCCAAAGGTGTAGCTTTTTTGCAATATCTTCTTGAAGCTTTGAAATCTCTGCACCTTGCGACACCACAATCCATATCACAACGTCAAATCTACCAGGTATTTCAGCAAACTTATTGTGGATTTTATGGAAAAGGGTAGTTTTTCCTACACCACCCATGCCGTGCAAACCCATGATTTCGACTCCATCTTCCATAAGGCGATTCCATGCTGTTTCGAGCATCTTTTCCTGACCAATAGTAGGCTGAGTAAACCTCTTCTCAACTTCAGATATCGGGGCAGGCTTAGTAACCACTTCAAAATTACTCTCTGAGTTGAGTTTCTTAACATCTTCCAACAACAAGAATACCCTTTTCCCAAAACTGTAGCTCGAACATACATTTTTTGAACACAAACCACAGAGACACAACTTCTGGTGCTGAACGGGACAAGTACTAAGTAGATCTTTGATTTGTAAATCAATGCTATCGACACGGGTAAGCCATACCTGGACAGCTTCAAGTCTTTGTTGATGTCGTATCTCCTCTCTCGATACCCTGTTCTGCACCTCATCTTTTATTGCTTTGAGATCTTCCATTTCCCTCTTCAAGGCTGTGAGATTCTTCTTGAGGTTTCGAATATAACCTTTACCACAAAACCATCTAAAGATGTGATTCAGCGTTTGATCGCAAGAACATTGGAAAGACACACCATTCCCCATGTTGAAAGAAAGAGGTAATATTTTCCCCAAGCAACAACGAAGCTAAAGATGAAGCTGAAGAAGTGTGTTAGGTGAAAATATAGGTAGATAACATCTTGCTTTATCAAAGAAAGAAAGAAAGAAGAAAAGAAAATAAGATATACGCCTGGGAGCATCTTTCTCTCTCTAGATCTCTTTAGATCTAATAAAGAGAGATTGAAAATGTATTTTTCTAAGAAAAGAAGATATCTCCGTCATTCTCCCATTGAAGGACTTTGATTATTCTTATTTTTGGTCAGCTAGAGTCCAAACGACCATCACTTTTGTTGCAAAATAATATTACTTTTGAAAATGACAACTGTCTTCCATTTTCGTGTAGACTTTAGAGTAAAAATTTAATAATTCTTTTTGTCATGCTTACAAATTAGTTTATTTTACCATCCCACAGCACAGTGGTAGAACCATTTAAGTATTTTGTCACTCTGATATCAAGTCTTGTAACTAATAAATTGGAAATGGGACAGAGTACTAGAAAAGAAATTAAGAAGACGGAAAAACATACACTGTTGATTGTGTAAATATGTAGTTTGAAAAGGATAAATTCAATCCGTTTTAACTCTTTTAGTAATCCAAGTGAACAACCACAACATACGGGAGAAAGAAAAAAATGCAAAAAAAAAAAGTAATGATAAAATCCAAATGAACAACACATCACAAATTACAAGAAGAAAGAGAGAACAACATGAAAAATTAAGGACACCTAATCTGAACATGTAATCTCCAGGCAGATAAGATTTGGAGCAAACAGAAGCAAAGTCAGATCATTCATGCCACTGCACTCACGAATAAACACGTCTGATCAGAGGCTGGTAAAGCAAGGAATTGTCGGATTTGAGTAAATTAGACGAGTCCATCTAGCTTTCTCTGCAATCTATATATGTGACAATCTCCTAGAGATGACTATTTTCGAGTTTCGACGTAGAGATCATGAAGATTTTCCATACTAGCCAGTGATGATATATTGAATGGCTTTTCTTGAAAAGCATGAATACGCAGAGAAGTGATGCAGTTCACCAACCTTTGATCGCCTCGCCTACATATTTGATCCAAACCTATCTCCGTACGGTAGAACTTGTATATAATGCTCCAAGGGTCGCAGCTCCTTCACTAAGCTTCTGAAGTAGTGTCTTTGTCTCACCTTTAGTGATTCTGGATCAGAGAAAGAAGATGAAGAAGATTTTACAGACTGTGTTGCGTTCCATGGATTAGTCACTGCTGAAGACAAAAATGAGAATGATTTAGACAATGAACACCAAGATTTATATTGAAGAAACCAGCTACAAAGAATTGGTTTTTAAGATGACCAATGAAAATCTGAGATTGCAATAATAAAATGTTACCGTTTTGCATCTAATTGTATGTCAAAGTCACAATGGTGAAGTCGTGAAGAAGACTCTTGTCTTGCATCTCTTTCTGAAGAGGACTCGATTGAGCCACTGTATTTAGGCATCGTCTTTTTTTATTTTCACATGGTAGATTCATCTTTTCTTTTGAGCACTGTTGGCTTTGGAAATTTTATGATGTTCATACATGAAAGAAGCCCAGTAAAACAAAAAACAAAACAAAAAAAAAAAGAGTTATAGTTTCTGCGCTTGTGATATACTCACTATGATTACTTCCAACCAGAGCTCACTAAGATTCTTCATACTCACCAGTAATGATATATCAAATGGCTTTTGTTGGAATCCGAGAATTTGCAGACATGTTGATGCAGTTTGCCAACCTTTCATCCCCTAATAGTAGCTCCCAAGCCAAATCCGTTATCGTTATGGTTAGAACTTGTAGATGCTCCAAGAGCTGCAGCTCCTTCACTAAGCTTCCATCGATATGAACTTTGGAATTTCGTAGTTTCAAAATTTTTAAACTCGACAACTTTGATATCCCACCAATACTACAAAGTCTCTCTGTAGAAGCCAAATTCAGGTGAGCTAGCTTTTTCAACTCCTGGAAACCAACAGGCAATTGCTCTATACTTGTAAAAGATAAGTCAAGATACTGCAAGGACGCCAGCTTGCTCTGGAAGTTCACTGAAGTTTTCATTACCTGATAGATCCAAAACAGCTAGCTTTTGCATAGACTGAATGAATTCACCTGAGTGGTTCTTCAATTGATTCTCTTGAAGGAACAGAGTTGTAAGTTCAGAACACTTGGACCCGCAGGTTATCTCTTCAATATCATTATTCATTAATGACATTCTTCTCACAGTTCCCCAATCCTTTACTTTTGGTATTTCATGTAATCCAACTCTTGCTTGCACAATAAAAGTCTCTTTCTGTTTCCCAAAATAGGATGCAATCCATAGAGCCATTTCACGAACCACGTCGTGCACCAACTCTTCTTGAACCAATCTCTGTTAATGACTTTTTATGATGGAGAGAGGAGAGAACCGCTGTAATCGGAAGTTTGTGAGGTAAGGTGCTCTCATTAATTTGTTTTTTTTTTTCTCATCTGATTTGTTTGTAAAAGTTTTTGGCAATATCACCACGACTTAAACATCTTAACCCGAAACTCAGGAATCTAAAGTGGTCTAACAAAGTTATGTAGTTTTTAATGAAGACTGAAATCAGACACTAAAATCAGAAAAAGTGCAATCTTCTTCCATTAGAATATAATCACTAGACCGCCTTGTTTTGGTTGGTTGTGTGTTCTTTCTTGCTTTTGATTCTTAGAATTGAGGATAGCAAACTTTTTTTTTTGTTAATTTATTGAGCTATTAATGTTCAATCTCGAGTGAGTTCGATGCGGTTCAAGTGACTATAACATGACATGATTAATTTCTTATAGTCACTAGTTGAAAAACAAAACTATGGAATGTAAAATTTAAAACCCGGCCCTTAGATTAAAATCATGCATGCTTGTTAGAAAAAAAACAGAGAAAGTTATATATAAAAGAAGCAACGTTCATATGTAGAAAAGCAAACTTTTGAATGCCAACTTGGATTATCTTTCTCTTTGAAAAACTATAAATTTTCAAAACGAGTGTAAAAGGGGTTCCACTTTCTTGCGACATAAAGAAGTATTCCACTTTCACTGCTAGTGACGATCCCAAATAGGATGACAAATTTCAATTAAAAAAATATAATTTAGTAATAACTTTCATTATACCATTAATTTGAATTGATTGTTAATTCGGTGATTACTTAATTTCTCGTCTGACCCGATTCTGATATAATAGTACCTTCACCTTGTGTTTAAAATTCTCTAACTTTCATTAATCCAACCAAATTACAATTTCTCTTAATATATATACTAAATAGAAACGGTCATATATCCATTAAAGACCTATATAACGAACATTAACAATGACTAATTTATATTTTATAAATGAGTGGTAGTTATTTTGGATATATATTCTACGTGGTGTTAAAACATACATATTCATTTATAATCTTGAATTTCTTTACTCTAACATTACATCATTCTAATTTCGAATGACAAAAAAAAAATGAACATTACATCATTCAACCGAAATTACAATTTATAATCAGCACAAAAATATAACAGAAATGAATTACAGAGGTACGTAATTAAGTAAGTAGCTTTACGAATTACAAATCCAACGTCAAAATGAGAAAATATTTTTCCCATCGAAATATTCCTTTTTTCAGAGAAATATGAAACACTCTAACGAAACAAGCGGGTTCTCTAACAATTCCTCAGTGGTATAACCGTAATTCTGATGCTGCTGATCCAAACCGTTTTTATTCGGATCTAGCCTGACCCGACCCGGAGACTGATTATTCTTCCTAGTCTTTGCCCCACCCACCCGACTACTCTGATTCGAATCCATCACCGATCTATTCGTCGCCGGCGATCTCGACCTTCTTCCGGATCTCTCACCCGGGTCTCTCACACCCGACCCGTATCTCGCTCCATTACACGTACCGTTGTTTCTCTTACGTGGAGATTGATCAGTTCTCCGGGTCGGATAATTATTACCCGTGACCCGGGTCCGAGTTTTCGCCGGAGATCTCTGAGATTTCCTCTGTTTCATCATCACATCTTCCTCATCGTAACCATTCATCACAACCGTTGAAGACACACTCTCACTCAAGCTCAAGCTACAAATCTCCGAAACCTCCGATCCTTCTTCCGGGTCAACCGAACCGGGTCGAATCATAACCGGGTTTGAGGCCATTTTCAAGAAACCGGGTTTCTTCTCCTCATCTTCTCGGATCTTCTTCTTCACCGGATCTTTGATCGTCGAAGAGTGGAAACTAGAGGAAGGAGTGAACAAGGTTGTCTCAGACAAGACTTCTTTGACTACTGTCTCTTCTTCAACAATGGTTGTGTTCTTGTCGGAAACGTTCTCGTTTTCCCGATCTGTGGTACCGGAGCCGACGCAGCAATTACCCATTCAGAGAAGAGAGAGAGAAGAGAAGACGTCGTTTGATCGGAGATTAGAGAGTAGTAAGTACTCTTTGGTTGTGTTGTGTGGTGACAGCAGAGGATGATTGTCTAGTGAGAGTATTTATTGTTAATATTTTGGGACAGTTGATAATATGATGAGGAAAAAGAATAATTATAGAACAACTACCCCAAAGCGGCTTTAATTTGTAATGATTTCAATAGTAATTGTGTCTGTGATTAAACCCCATGCAAATTTCAATTTTCTTGATATAATGACGTTAATAAAGTTATGATAACTTTTTAGTCAAGAAAAAAAAAAAAACTTAACCCAATATGAGGTGTACGTAGTGATTACTTATTTTTCCGAGTCCAACTAATTTCTCTTGGAGCGATTTACTAATGGATTTTGTTCGTTGAGACTTGAGAGATGTAAATTAACAAAAAAAAAAAAAAAAGGTGTATATAATGTGAGTCTTTAGCTGAGAATCCCTGTTCAAAAACGCGGACGCCTAGCCGCCGAGGCGGCCGCAAAGTCGCTCAACGGTGGACCTCCGCCGTGAAGAATCCAAATCGGCCGTATTAATCGCTTGTTCGAGTAAATCTCCTGTTTGGAAGCTTGGGTGAAGTTATTTTGGCTTAGTTTCTTATCAATATATTAGATCTATAGAAAGTTTGGTACATAAAGCAAGAAAAACAACCAAAAATGGTGAAAACAAAAATTAAGACGGCTGTTAGGGTTGAATGTCGCAGGACATAAAGAGGAAGAAGGAAAGAAAATTACGATTTTACCCTTTATTAATAGAGAAATCCAAAAAATGTGACCAATATGGAGTTAACTGGAGGCATGTGGAGAAACACAGAGGAGTTTACCACCAGAGCTAGAGTAGATTTTGGAAAATGATTGCGGTAGTTTATATATATTATAGATTTTAATATAAAAGCCCTAAAACTAATCCCCGATTAATCTCTGTATAATCTCCGATTTTATCGCTAGGCGCTAGGCCCACCTCGAACGCCCGACTAGCGCCTAGCGATGTTTTGAACAAGGGCTGAGATCCATTTACATCCTTTAAAATTTGATCGGATCCAAAATCTATGATAAAAAATATTGTAGATAGTCGTTAAAAAAAGGTCTAAATGAAAATTGTTAAAATGTTGAAGATATCTACATTTTTTTTTCTAAGTCACATGACTCACATGCATCAAATGGCTAGAGATCTAAACAAGCCAACAAAGAGTTCATTTCCATTAAATATCATTGAACTTAAATTTTTTATTTGTCAGCATCCTCTTAAGCTTCCAGGCAAAAAATTATGACAAAAATAAATCTCTACAAAAGCAGATGATATATATAGTTTAGTTCTGTAACGATACAATTCATGAAACAGTTGACTCACCAATTTGAAGTTTTTAGATGACCTTATTATTTTTTTTAGAAAAAAAGAGAGAATGTTTCTTAAAGAAAACCAATCTATATATAATAGCAATCTAATAAATACCATTTGCACATTTGAATAGTTGCGTCTTTTTATTGCAATCTTTCGTTTAAATTGGTTATTTTTTACGGTTATTTTGGTTGCGTCTTTTTATCGCAATTTTCGTTTTAATCGGTTATTTTTTTACGATTATGTCGTTTCCAATAAATACCATTTACACATCTGAACGGTTGCATCTTTTTATTGTTACTTTTCGTTTAAATATTTATGGTTACTTTCGGTTGTGTTTTTATCACAACTCTTCGTTAAAATATTGACGGTTACTTTTTTTATTGACGGTTATTTTTTTGTTGTGTTATTGTAATATTTAAAATATTAGCGGTTAGTTTTTTCGTTTGTGTCTTTTTATCAAAATATTCTGTTAAAATATTGACGGTTATTTTTTTTTCGGTTGTATCTTTTTATCGCAACTTTTCGTTAAAATATTGACAGTTATTTTTCTCGGTTGTGTCTTTTTATCTCAACTTTCCGTTAAAATAGTGATGGTTATTTTTCACGGTTAAGTCTTTTTATCGCAACTCTTCGTTAAAATATTGACAGTTATTTTTTTTGTTGACGGTTATTTTTCGGTTGTATATTTTTTATCGCAACTTTTCGTTAAAATATTGACGGTTACTTTATACATTTGTGTCTTTTTATCATAACTTTCTGTTAAAATATTGATGGTTATTTTTTCTTGGTTGTGTCTTTTTGATCGCAACTCGTCGTTAAAATAACTACGGTTACTTTTTTGTTGACGGTTATTTTTTTTGTTGTGTCTTTTTATCGTAACTTTTCGCTAAAATATTGACGGTTACTTTTTTTGTTTGTGTCTTTCTATCGCAACTTTCCGTTAAAATATTGACGGTTATTTTTTTTTCGGTTGTGTCTTTTTGATCGCAACTCTTCGTTAAAAGAATTGCGGTTATATTTTTTCGTTAATAGTTCTTTTTCGGTTGTGTCTTTTTATCGTAAATTTCTGTTAAAAATATTGACGATTACTTTTTTCGGTTATGTCTTTTATCGTAACTTTCCGTTAAAATATTAACGGTTATTTTTTCTCGGTTGTATTTTTTTATCGAAACTTTCCGTTAAAATATTGACAGTTATTTTTCTCGGTTGTATCTTTTTATCGCAACTCTTCGTTAAAATATTGACCGTCATTTTTTTCGGTGATGGTTCTTTTTTCAGTTGTGTCTTTTTATCGCAACTTTCCGTTAAAATATTGACTGTAACTTTTTTTCGTTTGTGTTTTTTTTATCGGTACTTTGCGTTAAAATATTGACGGTTATTTTTTCTAAGTTGTATTTTTTAAAATCGCATCTTTTCATTGAAATAATGACGGTTATTTTTTTGAGACAGTTCTATTTTTTCAATTATAGTCATATTTTTTTCAGTTTACTGTTGTATCTTTATAGTTGCATATACGTTTCTTCACTATATTTCATTGCATTTTTTCGTCACAATTTTTTGTATGAATAATTGTCTATTTAAATGTTCATGACTTCTGAACTCTAAATAATTGTCTTTCTTTCTAAGTAGTTCCCAAATTTTTGTTCTTTAACATAGATTATTTGTTTCATGATGAATAAAAAAAAACAAATCTGTAAAATGGCTCTAAATTCTTAATTCTCTAAACTATTTCTAATCATAATTCATTTTAATATTAAAAAAATTCTTTTGATTTTAGATTTAACCAAAGTTTTTTGGAATGATTATAAAAAGAGAGAAGTTTTAATCAACTTTAAATATAAATTCTAATGAAGATACCGACAATTTTTTTCTTAGAATTGGACTGAGTATACAGTAGCTTTTTTTATTTAGCTATTTTATATGAAAACAATAATGTTTTTTTTTTATCATAAAGCAATATATATGGGTACAACGAAATATTGATTCTGATTTAGCACTATTACAAAGTTCGAATATCAGAAGATATCCTCATGTGACGCTTGTGATTAGGCGCTTTAAATGTGGTAAGCGTCAAATAAACAGTTTCAAATAGTATAGTAATTCATAAATCATCTTCATTATTAGGAATAAAGCAATGATTCCAATTCGTCACATGAATGTTCAAGGAAGAAGTTTTTTTACTAAGTTAATTAATCAATACAAATATAAATTTATGAGATTGTGTAAATGTTTATTTATTTGTTATAGATGTAATTTACGTCATCAAATTTTATATCTTCTCGAATATATATAATAAAATAAATATTAATTTTATATTTAAAGAACAATGGACAACCAAATAACACCAATTCTTGGGCGTTCTTAGTCACCCACAAGTCGTGCTAAGTACTGATTCCATCCGAATTTTTTGGTTTTGACCCGCTAGAATTTCTTATCTCTATATTATAACTCTTTTTTATGTATATTGTCACTTATAAATAATTTTATATTTATAAAAGTTGTTTCAAAAGTGTTTTTAATCATAATTCTTCTTTTTTACATTTTTATTCGTAAATTGTTTTAACATCTTTGGAAAATATTTACGATATAGCTTAAAAATATAGTTAATTTTATGTAATAATTCAACTTTTTAAATATATTATCATAATAATTTAATACATAAACACAATCAAATATATTTTTAAAAATGAGTTCCTCCGCGACATCGCGGGGTTCATAACCTAGTGATAATAATGAAGGTCAGAGATAAAGGTTATGTCAGAGATCTAAAATCGTATCATAATAACATGACGAATCTTTTGACCAAAAAAAACATAAGACGAATCTTACGACTAGATCTAGTTTTTTTTTTTTTTTGGGACACAACCCTATTTATACAATTACTACGTACGCATACACATACACATACACGACTATAAAACATAGATATCGATTAAAATAAAAATTCTGACTATAAAATAGTTTCGTATAGAGTAAAATTTGAACCTCACAAAATGACAAAACTATAGACAATACTCTCTCTGTTTCTAAAAGTTTGATGTTCTAGCGTTTTGTAATTGGTTTGTTCCACAAAGATTGATTTTCTAGATTTTTTATTTATTTTTAGTTTATTTTCGTAGATTTCAAGACGCAATGATTAACTGTTTCAGATTACTATTGGTTCATAAGTTATTAAAAATGTTTAATAAAAATAAATAATTAAACAATGATTGTTTCTTAAAATATGTGAAATCTCTAGAAAATCAATTTTTTAGGAACAGAGGGAATATTGGTTAATCTCGGGAACACATCATGGTGTCTTCTGTAATATTTGAACACTAAATAACAGCCCGCACTATGTGCGGGATAAAGTGATTTAAGTAAAATTATTATGATTAAAATTATTATCTGGAATCCAAGATCCCTTTGTGTAAATAGAAACAGGTAATAATTTATTTTTTTAATTCAAATTTGGGACTATTTCGTATAAGAATACATTTCACCCGTGAAATATTTAAACCTGGAATAAAGCTTCAACGTGATAAAAAAAGTATTGACGAAGATTTATATAAATATATATAAAGAAAAGTATAAATATAAATATAAAGATTTATTAATATAAGATAAACAAAAAGTGTATGTTTTCTAATTATTAAAAAATAAATCATTAATATAAATAAACAAAGCTCTCGTGATTTCTTATTAAATATAGAAATGAAGATTAGTTGCCTAATTATTTGCTTTTTGGTTATAATTTCGTTTTTTATTTGTGTGATATATATATATATTAAAACTAATGGCAAAATCTGTAAATAGTCTAGTAAAATTTGGGTAATAATTTAAATGGATGGAAAATCACTCTGAAAGCGACACGTCAGCATGGCAGTTTAGTTAATAACACGTCAAAGTGAGGTTTATTTTTTAGAGTGCTTCTCTATTAATATATAAGGGATATGTTACCAATCACATCCACATTGTACAATACTTTTAACAATTTATTGCTTATTGGGTCGGGCTTAAAGTTTGGGCAGGCCGACAATAGCATATTCATGACCACTACAGTTCACTGACAGCGAACACATTCTTCTCAACTCATTTATCTTGTAATAAGAAAATGAAATTCAACAAAAAGAAAATTTGGCAAAAATCTTAAAATACATATTTACTTAAGCCAAGGCTTGCTTTTGCAGTTTGGTTCCTTCTAATTATATATATACACAAAATTCTCATAACAAATCTCGGCAATGAAGATGAAATCAGTTCGCAAGAAGAAAAAGTTAACCGCAGAAGCACAAACCATGACGTAATACAAAAATCAAACGTTTCACATTCTAGAATGGAGTTTGGACTTGAATTTCGATTGTTTGAAACACAGGGTGCAGATGCGGGGTAGGCAATGAATGTAGGTATATCCTCTCCTAGCATCAACACCGAGACTTCTTTTGAGTACACATCTATCTGCAAATCGATATAAACGCCATAAAATCAGTTTCCAAACTATAAAAATTGATATCCAAACAGTTTTATTGAGAAGCCAAGAACATATCTAAAAACCCGTATGTATTGGACAAATGTAATGTGTTATATTCCCCAATACAGAATTTGATGTTCGCACAAAGTCACACAAAAATGAAGTTGATCTAAACCTCTTAAATTGAAAGATAGGACTTGAAGATTTACATTGTATGGGTCCTCCCATGTTTGAATGATTCTAGTTATGTTCACATGGTAGGTTCTTTGTGTATATGTCACATGCCAATTAATTGATAACCCTCAAATGACTATTAAGTCCTAACCAAAAACAAAATCATCTCCAATTGATAATCAAGACAATGGGATCAAGATCTCACATCCAACAAAACCCACTTTCAAGTTCAAACCCAAGTTCATACCTTTGAGTGAGATTTGCCATTCCAAGAACCAAATCCTCTCTCAAGCAAGTCGATCTAGATTTATTCGAATTTTGTGACCGTAACCGATATTATCAAGTCCGAATCACTTTATTCAGTTAAGCTAATGCTTAGTATCAAAACTTGAAGAGATGAGAGACAAAAGGGAATCTTCAATCTCTATGAAACTATATCATTCACAAGAACATGAAAAGAAAGAGGACACTCTCTAATCTCAATGAAACAAAGGGACAATGCCACTAGGCCATTTTGTGTTCCTAGGAAATGCAAGTCAAAATAGTAGAGTAGAGACCATTTCTTCTATCTCCACACGCAATAGAATCCACTATTTTCCCTCACTCATAAATACTTACAAACAAATCAATCTCCAATACAAAATCACATTACTATTTTACCTTTTTTCCCCTCCTCTTTCGTCATTATGGAAAGAAAAATGACGAAAGCAATTAGTGATGATGCAAAAGCAAATGTGTGGGTCAGTTTCAATACCAATGAGTACACAAACCCTATGATGTTTTCTTGTTTTGATTTTGGTACAAAAGAAAGTGTTCAAATCAATTAAAATAACTATTTGTAACACATCTCTATCACATAAAATATCAAAATACACAAGAAGAAATAAAAAAATGTCATTTTTTTTTGTAACTTCATCAAAAAGATTGAAGCTTTTGATACCAAATATGCATCAATCAACACAAAGATCCAAACTTTTATAAAATATTAAACTATTTTTGGAAACATCATTAATGAACATGTAAAAAGACTTCAAAAGTCAACCTCCATATTAAATTCATTAAATTTGAAATTTGTTTTAATATGGGAAATATAGTTTAATTTTTATCTTTAACAAATTTACCATATTTGAAAAATATATTTTTGAAAATTATGTACTATATACATATAATAATTAGATTTTCATAACGATTTAATTTTTAACTCGAACTTATTTCATATAAAATAATTTTTAATAATTATTATATTTTGCTAGCCTACTTTTTCCTTGTCATGAACAATAAACTAATTTATGTATCATATTTATGTATCACATGAAAAATATGATACTGTAATTTGGGTGAATGAGATATTTATTAATTTATTATAAATTATCAAAACAAAATAAAACATCATTTATTGTATTTCCATATTTTATTGACTTGCGCGCGGACGTAAAGATTTTAAATTTGCGAGCGCAAGTCTTAATCAAATATTATATAAGAAAATGAATCAAGTAACAAAAAAAAAAAGAACATAAAGCAATAATATCCCATCTTGGGAATTTATAAAAGTCATACATAATTTGGTGAGACTCAATTTAAGAGCTTCATTTCCCATTTTTCTTATTTGTTCATTCTTCACAATGACTGATGGAAGAAGTAATCTCAATTTGTAAGTTCCTTAGATATTCTCAATTTTCTATTTTCTATTTTACAATATCTAATGATGATTGTGAAAAAATACAATAAGAAATTATATTATTTTCAATTGTTTTGCTTTCAGATTAGTTTTCTAGAATTTTTATTTCTGAAATTATAAAGGATGAAATGAAAATCTTGTTAAGGATCATGATCAAAAGATTTTACTCATTTTATCTAGGTTCATTTAATTTGAGAGGTCCCTTTACCTCTCATATTAAATCAATTTTTCTATATTTTTGGTTAAAATATTTTAAATTCAATAAAAATAATTTTAAACATAAAAACATAGATATCTTTTCCACTTTAACTTTACGATTGATTAAATTTATTTGATCCATTTCGACTCATCCTATTATACTCGAGTTTCGTGTAAATTATGGTTTCACTAAAGTCAGTTTGGTTTTTTTAATTGATTTATGATTTTATTTTACGTTTATCAAATTTTTTCCCAAATTTTATAATCCATAATATTTGATAATTTGTTAGAATTTTGATGTGATTTTTTTTATAGAAATATATTAGATTTAGAATAGTCAAGATAATTGTTTTTCTAAGTCACTGAAAAACCAATCCTTGTTTTCATATTTTGTAATAAATAATTAAACTTAAAACACGATGAATTATTGACCCGCAGGCAGACCGGGTCGATCAAGAAATCTGGTGACCCAAAAAACTTTGAGCGTCCAGTGGCAGTCGGGGAGGAGGATCAGCCGCCCCGAGAAGCTTCTCAGGGCGGAGACTTCGTCGAGTCTAAGCCGGTGGACGTCAACATTGCCTTGAGCTGGGAACTCTTTGAGGTGAAGCAAGGAACAGAGACAGTGCGTGAGTATTATAAAGAGTTCCTTAAGAAGGTCAAGAACCTGGGAAGAGAGTTGGAGGAAGAGGAGCTGGCGTGTCTGTTCCAGGAAGGGCTACTCGAGGAGTTGCACGAAGGGGTACGTGCAGCGAACTGCGGATGGATCCTCAATTATGTGTCAGATGTAGTAGATGAAGCTGAGAAGGTAGAGGCCAAACTTAGAAGCACCAAGGAAAAGGTGCCGCTCGTGTCTAAGGAACTTGCTGATGTTGATTTGGGCCAACGCGCATTCGAAGATGAGGTGGAGAGCAAACCCTATGATCCGGAAGACGATGTCATGCAAGTTTGAGGTGGCTAGAGTCAACATAAGGTTTTGAGTCGTGTGGATTATGTTTGGTTTTCCTTTTCGTTGGTTTGATGATTTCGTGTTCAGTTGAACTGGTTTGGTTGTTTCTTTCATTTGATATTGTTAAGAAAAGAGTATTAAGTGATGTGTTAGGCTCATTGCCCAAAGCTTCTTGAGCTACCTCCTCTGTCATGTATCTCTTTCTCGTGATCTCCAAAGTCACGGCTCACCAAAAATCTTGCTCATTAGATCTTCTATTCGGTTTCCTATTTATATATATTAAGAAGTTGCTATTACTCATAAAGTTTGCCTTCATTTCCTTCGTACCCTTTTCAGTGGCGGAGCCAGGACAACGACTCACTGGGGTCAAAAAATTTTTAACGAAACAAAAGTTTAGACTTTACTAAAACCATAACAATATCATCACAAATATAGATCCTAAAGATGAACTCTACGCTCACTCATATTTTGGAATCGTTAAGGATCTGTTGATTATAAGAAAAACAAAGAAGAAGAAGCCAAACCATTTTATAGGCTATAACGAGTAACGACGTATGTTTTAGGTTAGATTACAATTATTGGGCTTCTATATTTATGTTAATTTTGATAGATTTTAGTTGGGTCTTATATTATATATAGCTTAATACAATTGTTGGGCTTGTATATGTATATAATTCAACATATTACTAAGCTTCCCTTTGCTTGTACGTGAACTAAAATATTCATAGGGGTCAATTTATTTGTTGGACTAGGGTCAATATAATTTTTTTAATAAAAACTTAATATTTTCAAAATTCCACTGGGGTCATTTGACCCCTATAATTCTTCTCTCCCTCCGCCCGTGACCCTTTTGCTGAGTAATGTGAGGTTGGAGGCGAGATTCAAAGCTATGTCATTGCCAAAATAATATTTTGCGAAGAAGAAGAAGAATCAGATGATGTTTCGGTACGGTTCACAGAGATTCTACATTTCGGCTGTAACATCACTCATTCAATAGGTCATGTCCCTTTCTAGGTAAGTAACCTTGCCAAGTTGATTCATTGATTCATCTAACTATACATGTGATGAATAAGCCATCTCTCTTGTTTACAAATTCGAACCTTTCGGAACAAAAAAATTCCTCAAAACAAACACAAAGATCCAAACAAAAGTCGATAACTTCATTCAAATCAAATGCACATATGCAAGGAGTTATGAAATATGTTGATAATAAGAACATTTGACTAGAATAAATCATTGCCTACAACAGCTTATGTTCCCCTCCACATATCCTAACAATTGCGGGTCCAACAAATCCCGATGCAGAAGAAAAGGAAAAGCAGAAAGCATATGAATTATAAGAAATTGAGATTGAAGGGAAGAGAAGAGCACCATTCATTGTTCCTTTTTGCTACTATTTTTCAATTGCAGAAAGAAGTACGGAATCATTCTGACGGGTCTTCGAGCTGACCAGTAGACAAATCATTAATGTGCGGATACACTGCCTTCTCATCCAGTTGATTTTGAGCCCAAATCAGCATCTTCAACAAGCTTGGAAGTTTAGGATCTGTTTGTTCACAAACATTGAGTTGCTACATTTAACCATCGAGGAAAGTGGAAAGTTTCAAGAAGAACTTGGATGATACATGTTGCGGATTAAGTAATGAATGAAATATTCTAGCTGTTATGTAGAGAAGAGTTGCATAGACTCTGAATCTTAAGACTGGTAATGAATGATGCTCGAGATTATAATAGCATTTTTGTGGCGACTAAAAGACAACCAATCTAACATCAAAAGTTACCTTTTTCGTGGCTCTGGCTTGTAAGAATCGCTGCATTTACCTCACTTGCTGTCTTAAGGCGGTGGGAAAGGTCAAGAAGCTCTTTAACCGGGCAGGTAGAGGCATCGTCAAAAACAAGTAGGGCTACAGTTTTTTCCAATTCTTCCAGAAACGCTTGCTGCAGAAAGATATAACAGATTGTATGAATGGAGTTTCAGCAACAACAGGTATTACACACAGTCAATGAGCAATACATAAATATTTCACATGAAAAACACAATCTTTACAGACACAAAGTACAAAAGAAAGACTTACGTTTTCTTCGCCACGTGGTGCAAGTTCCTCCTGAGCAAACTCCAAGGCCTCATCTGTCTTCCCTTGTCGAATTAATTCTATCAACCTTTGTTGCTGAAGATGAAAAAAGAGCTCGGGATTCGTGTCTAGTATCTGCAAGCATAGGTTCAAAGAAGAATCAGATTTTGATTCTTTAATACATCAAAAAAGTGAATGACTACTGTTCACACATGATATGTAGAAGCATTGTACCTCAGGATTCAAATCATTCACTTTTTCAATCGCATCCTCGACATTTCCGTTTTGGACAGCCTTTTTAACAGCCATTCGATCAGTGATGGTCGCAAGATCAATCTCTGCTGTTTCTCGATAAGGAATTCAAAAGAAGTAAATGATCCAAAGTCCAAACATCAAACACACCAATTCCACAAACAAAAACCGAAAACAGGAATCACAAAAAAGGATACGTTTGGTTCCAGACTCCCTTTGGAATTTCTCAGCAGCTTCAACATATCCCTCAGTCACAAGAAAATTCATCACCAAAGTATTCATATCTTCTTTCCTAAGCTTCACAGCATTTAGTTTCTTCTCCCATTCTTCACGTGTGATCATTTTCTTCGATGTAGCCTGCGACAAGCCACGATTAAAACTAGGTTAAACAAAGTGCATAAAGATTCAATTTTTCCAAAAACCCATCATCAAGTTGGACAAAAGAACACAAGAATCAAAATTTACCATATCTTCGTCGTCTTCTTCAAGCTGATTAATAAAAATACGAAACAGTGAAATTAGAACGCCAGTGTGGCTCTCATATCTTGAAATCTAATCCACTCAATACAAATTAATACCTGTTCGAGTCTTTCCAAGTGAAGAAATAATCCGATCAGAGTTATTTCCAAAAGAAATTGACTTTGTGATAATCAGATAGTGATACAGAGTAATTTAGGGCTTGAGTCAAAATTCGAGCTTTAATCCCAAATCAGCACAGGAACTAAGAAAGAGAGAGTGTGCGACTATTTTCCTGGAAAATTGAATAATAACGATGTACCTGGAGAAGTGGAGAATCTGGGGAAGATTATTTGGGAATGAATCTTGCAAATAATCCGGAGATTTGGGAATCGATTTGCTTCTAGATTGCTTGCGAAAGTCTCTTCCCTAATTCTACAATCTGATAAAACAAAAAAAGTTGGAGATTTTCGATAGAGAAGAAGAGATCGGGTTTCAGATGAATCAATGGCTAGAAAGCTGAGGAAAAAAATGCTGGAATGCCACCTTCTAATTTCTAATTTCATTTAACATTTTTTTTTTAAATTAAAAGCTAAAGAAATGTCTAAAAATCCTTTCAAAAGATCAACAATTACAAAATCATACTTCAAATTTACTATTTTTACAACCAAACACTCTCAATCAATTTCCAATTATTCCCTAAAAAAAACCACCGCTCCTTCTGTCTCCTCCGCTCCTCCTCTTCCATATCCACACTCGCTCTCTCCACTTCCTCTTCTCTCTATTTCGCCAGATCTATCGTCTCTTTTCCACTTCTTTATTATTCATCTCTCTCTCACATATGTCTCACTCTCTCTTCTAAATCTTTACCGGAGAACCGTCACGTTTCTCCGTTCAAAATTGAGATTCCCAAGTTTGCGATCATATCCGATGATAACAAGTTCACTCAGTTTTCGCCTCTCTATTCTACGATCCCGCCTCCTCCTCCTCAGTTTCCGTCGTCGCGACATCAAAGGACTGCTCTCACTTCTACTGCAACGATTGTGTCTCGAAATATATAGCTGCAAAATTACAAGACAACATCCTCTCAATCGAGTGTCTTGTCTCTGGTTGCGAGAGCTCTGGTCGGCTCGAGCCTGATAAGTGTCGTCAAATCTTGGCCAGAGAGGTTTTTGATCAGCGGGGTGATGCTCTTTCTGAAGCAGTATTGATTCGTTCAAAGAGATTTTACTGTCCTTATAAGGATTGCTCTGCTTTGCTTTTCATTGACGAGAGTGAAGTGAAGATGAAAGATTCGGAGTGTCCTCATTGCCATATAATGGTGTGTGTAGAGTGTGGGACTAAGTGGCATCCAGAGATAACTTGCGAGGAGTTTCAGAAGCTAGCGGAGAACGAAAGAGGAAGAGATGATATTTTGCTCGCGACGATGGCAAAGAAAAAGAAATGGAAAAGATGTCCTTCTTGAGAAGTCTCAGGGTTGCTTATACATGAAGTGCAGGTATATGTATCTTCTTCTTCTTCTTATCGCCTGTGATGCAAATTTGTGAAACAAAGTTTTTTTTTAGTAATTTGTTTAACACATTTTGTGTTTTGCTACAATAGTGGAACTCCGTCGATGGACCATTCTCATTATTGTAATTATTGTAAGCGTTGATTTAGCATTAGTATTTCCTATTATAGGTCTCTAAAAGTAAAGCCTAAAGCTAAAAATTAAGCTTTATGGATATGGATTTCAATTTGGTCTTGATGCTTTGTACCTATTTTCTTTTCTTTAAAACTATCTTGATAGTTGTTCTGAAGAGATTGTGACTAAAAATGATTCAATTTGCTTTCAGACTTCAAGGGTTTTGCTTTACTCTGACATTGCTTTGATCTAGAGGATAAAATGAACAAGTTTTGATTTCTTGACTTCCAAAGTAAAATGAACAAGTTTGAGTTTTCAAGAAACCAGATTGGTAATTATTTGTGTATTTTGTCCTTGTTTATTTGTATAGGCACTTCCATATATTCGTTGTATTGGGGAATCATAGCCAATAACGAAAGAAAGAGCTTAATTTGAAGCAACAACTTTGAGAAAGCATGGAAATTTATCTACTTTGGAGCTATAATGAGCAGAAGATTAAATAGTTGCAGCAGAGACTGAAAGATTGCGGATTTGTTTGATTGTAAACAATAGAATCATATGGTGAAAGTGAAGTTTTATGTACAACTAGATCACTTAGGTACAACTGAGACAATTTTGGTATAACTTGAACTACTTGGTGCAACTGTACTATTTGATTATTCAGATAGTTTTTTTTGTTTATGGTGCAACTGATAAATTTGGATATAACTACGTGTAAAAAAATTGGACCTTTTGTTTATGTATGGTAAAGTGGATCTTTTGTCTATGTACTTTGGTGGTATTTTGGTACAACTAGTCTATTTAGGTACAACTATGTGTATGAGTTACTTATAAGAAAGTACAACTAGATCACTTAGGTACAACTAGATCACTTAGGTACAACTGAGACAGTTAAAAATAACCTTTTAAAAAAAAAAAAAAAAAAAATTTAAACGAAGTCAAAAAAATAATTAAAAAAAATATGATCCACGTAAGCATGATTTTTGACGGCGGGATATTAATTTTAAATCACCACACGTGTGGTAAAGTGGGCCAAAGACAGCATGATATTAATAAAAAATTGTTTTGTTTTAAACATAGTTGTACCTAGTTGTCCAGTTGTACTCTCATATTCATAGTTGGACTTTAGCGATTTTTGTGTATTTCTAGTTGAACTTTAAGGAAAATTAGTAATTTATAGTTGGACACATGATGTTACACTATTAATTATCATTTAGGAGGTTTTCATAATAAAATGTTCAGAAAAACTTGATTTTCACCTCTTTTGCTTCATATGTAGTGATCACTTACTAAGTCTTTCTTATATTGGAAGAAGTGTGTTATGTGAAAATAAAAAAAAATTGTTACAAAATTGTGAAATTCTCGTTGTATTGATTTAAAATAGTTTATTTATATTTGAAGATGTTTTTAGGAATTTCTTATATAAATCTTAATTAATAACTTATTATAATTTAATAAAAATCATAATACAATGAACGTGGTTGAACTAGTTGAACTAATAGTATATATTAGGAAAATGATAAATTTGATTTTTATTTATTCAAAATTATTGGTTTATAGTTCAAGATGTTTTTGGAATCGTTATTAACTCTAATTTATCGTTTTCATATTTGTTGTATACAAATACGTATATATTTATGTTCTTAGTTGTACCTAGTCGAACATAGTCGTACAAATTCGACAAATTCAAATACATATATGTTCTTAGTTATACTCAGTTTAACCTAGTTTTACAAATACGACAAATACTTATATGTAAAAATGGTTATCAAATCCATCAGGAATTTTTTTAATTAATACTCATTTATCTTCCACAATATCATATTTTATTTTGAAATTAAAATACCCAAATTATAATAACCAAATCTAATCCTCTATTTGATATAACACAATCTCACTAACAGACCAAAAAAATTTAAACAAAGCCAACTTCTAAAAGTCAAGCTGTAAATTTTCTTCTTAACATGTGGTTTCTATGACAATGTGATCAAATTTGACTAAATCTCCACGAACAGTACATCATAAGCAACCATTGTTCACCATGATTATATCATCAGAGGAAGAAGAGTGGCTCGCAACCAGAGATCCATTTCATCTACAACATAAAGCTAAAACATTTCCTTGAGAAAGAAATTGACTTTCACATCTCATTTTCTATGACTGCTATACGTTTCCCATGATTTGAAGTCAAAATATGATTTAAGAGAGATGTCTGCAGATACTTACGAACAAATATATCAGAAGTCGCAGGAGGACAAATTTCACGATTTTACACAGTACATATATAAACACGAATTCGATCACATATCTTTCCAGAACCGAGGAACCCGGTGATATCTATGGCGGGAATGCGAGTATCTTGGTTAAGAGAAGTTGCGGCATCTTGCTTGATCTCTGAGCTCGGTACAGAGGAAAACGATTTGAGGAAAGGCTTGGAGGAATCCGATTCTCGGGAAGTGAAGCTATCGAGGAAACTAGAGAGACGATTAGAGAGCATATGGCGAGCTCTCAAATGGATGAGTCGACTTCAAAACTAACAGGAGGAGCGGGTGTAGACGAAACAAATGGCGAGCTCTCAAACTCGATTTCGATCCAACAATAGAGGAAATAAAAGAAGCTCTTGCGCCGGCGCCGGAACTAATGTCGGACAAAGAATCGAACTCAGTAGCTCCGGGGAATCTTCCGTTTGACGGGGGGGAGATGACAAAGATGGAAAAAACGAGATTGGATCGAGTTTGGTTTCGCTGAGCTCGATTTTGATTTTTTTTTTTTTAAATTAATTCAATTAAAACAAATAAATTATTAAGGATAAAAAAGTATTATCTACTCTATGGATGGCATACAGACTCCAAAATAGCAGTCGTGATTAAAATTTCTGGTTCAGTGGCAAACTAGCATGTGTCTCTTCTAAGATGATGTTGACGAACCGTCGATGAACCGATCCGGTGTAAATTATTATAGAACTCGGTTTGCTTTTGGCTTTTGGTTATTTGTAAACCGGATAAAATGGTTTGGAAGAAAATCCTACAATAGAATTCATTTCCAAATGATTTTAATACACAGATTTATTTTTTTTCCGGCTAATACTCAAAGATTTTAAACTATTTTTTATCTTTGAATAACACAAATCTTACTAAATAAGACTGAAGTTAAAATTTAAAAGCATAATTAGAACCAATAACATTAGAGTTTAACGCATTATTTAAAAACAAAAATTGAATAGCAATGGATTATATTTGGATTTATATTCTATTAAAATCAATTATTAAGTAACAAATGTGTGACAAAAGCATTTTGCCCGGTGCAAAATATATTCTAATCTAATAGTATGTTTAATTTAATTAATTGCACTGAAAGTGAAAACTAAGTCCCAAAACATGTTTTTTTCTTTGCACATGGTTGTTTGTGTGGAACCACACAATACGACAAATGATCGACTGCAAAATTTGAGGTCTTCTAGTTGACCAACTGAGAATCGATGGACCACTTATTCTTTAAATATCTTTTTTTTTTCTCGATTGATTTGGAAGGACTTAGTGAAGAAGTTACACTAAAACTTCTCGAGTCAATCCTTATATTGTTTCTTTTGGCAACTCTTAATTCTGCAAAATCACAAGGCTCTTCATATCAATCAAGATAGCAAGCAACTACATTGAGACATGGCAAGAACGGAATTGTTGATCACATAATGAGCAAGCTCTTTCTCATCAAACTACCTACAAAAATCGTAGACTTATGTATGTACAACATAATTTTTCGCTCTACAAAGTAGTTGATCAATCATAAAAATTGATATCTTGTATAATATTAGTCTTGTTTTAGGGCTAACAAATGAGTCAGAAGATTACAAGCGTGT